GACAAAACCACTTGTTAGGTACTTTTGTAATTTTCAAACAAGATAAATGAAAAGTAGAGATGGGACATGCTTGGTTTGTGCATGTTACCACAGGCCCTCTAGCTGCCAGTCTGCAAAAACAAGCAAAAACAATTGGGATAAGGGGATGAATGAGACAAACTTCACTTTTGAGTATACCACCTTCCCAAAATTTCTGGTAGCACACAGTATCTCCAGAAGTGATTAAGTTTGGAAACAACAGAGTGCCAGTGTCTGACATCAGGCAAAATTCTTTCACAGAAGAGATCAATTTGCTCACGAAAACCACAAACAACAAAGTCACAATAAAGCTTTTCAGCAGTGAATATTTACTGTTGGATTTGGTAAAAGTAGGCATGAGTTGTATTTGTTAATATACAGCTCCAAGTCTATATCCTTTAAACAATAGGGGCTTTTGACCTCCCCACATCCATTCCCACAGCAATCACACCTACACAAAACGTCAGGTGTGGCATGTAACCATGGATATTGTTTATTGATAAACGTGCCACATTTCGTTACCTGAAAGTTGATGTGCTTTTCCTTCATGATCTTTTCATAAGTTTCAATAGCAACACTTTCATGTTTACAACCATGTTCTGTAGACTTCTATACGCCTTAAAATAGTCTTTACTGTAATAACTCGTGTCAATCACCAAAAACAACAACAAATCCATCGATTCGACCAGAGGCAGGCACTCTGGATCGTATTTTTTGTCTGAGAACAAGAGAGGATCGATTCCAACACAAGAAATCTTCTCTAAATAACGTTTTTTCACGTGGGGATCGAGCGTGTTCGCATAATCAGAGAGAGGATATCCCGCCATGTTGAAAAATGTGGAACACCAATATGGCGACTCAACTTTCCCGCGAAATTTGTGACGTCATGTGCAAACGCAAGGAAGTCTTCCCTGGGAAGACCTGCGCTAATTTGTCACTCACCATTGACGTGCGCGGATCAAATTTAAAATGGCGGCCGATTTGAACACTCGAAAGGTAAGGTATACGAGAATTGCTGTGCCTTTCCTGTCTTTACTTGCCTTAGAATTGAAATATCTTTAGCTAATACCAAGTAGTACTTCACAGATTAGAATTTTATTAGACGAAAGTTTAATCGAGGAACTGAACGGTTGGCTTACCGTGAACAACGGGGAGATCGTTCGAGTAGAGATACCACGAAAGAAAAAATCAACGCCAGGGTAAGTTGGCTCTTCAAAGAATCATATTTACAACAAGATTACAAACTGATATTATTCCACTATTCGCACTGTATATGCCAATGTAATGTCAAGTCCGATCCGAGGGGGTATTGTATAACACTGTCAGACCGTGTTACATAAATAATATTCAAAGTGCTGTTTCCAATGATCGGGAACTCGCAAAACGGATAAATAATTCAAGGCCATATTTTGGGTCATACTTTTTAATCTAAGTTGTATGCCCTTTTCTGCTAGCTACAAAATCTTATGGGTTTTTTAGTTTGCCGAAACATATATTTACCCGCCATTTGCAACGTTCTCGAACGATGTCCTTACAGCGCTTTACCAGTTCAAAACAGGTTATGTTCTCATGCATCATTCTAATTTTGCTTTCTTTGACAGTTTCCGAAGACAAGGAAGCCACGGAAAATGCAGCGGCAACATGTGTCGAGCTGCAGCACGAGCTCATTAGTCAAGAGATCGACAATAGATGTTTTTATACAATTCTAAACCGCCACGGTTTATAGCGCGATCTTATTTACATAGCCAGGAAGGAAGCATTGGGATGTTACGTGGAAGATGTTTGAAAGGTCATGCCAGTCTGTGTTGTGGAAGATCTTCGGAAACGGTGGCCAAATCCTGATGGAGTGCCCTACTGTGCTCACCGTCGTTCATAAAATCAGCATTACAATACTCCATCAGCACTTCCCTCCAAAATAGTATACATTTCTTTGTATA